GAGACCATCTGGCTAACACGATGAAACCCCGTCTCTACTAAAAAATACAAAAATCTAGCCGGGCGAGGTGGCGGGCGTCTGTAGTCCGAGCTACTGGGGAGGCTGAGGCAGGAGAATGGCTGTCTCTTATACACATCTAGATGTGTATAAGAGACAGCCGATGCAGTGTGCCTGGGCCCGGGAGGTGGGTGCGGGAGGAGCGAGCGCGAGCAAGGCTGACATCAGCAGCGGCCGCGGCGGGGAGGGTAGCCCCATCCGGCCAATGGGGAAATGGCAAAGAATGTGGAGGATTTAAACAAAACAGCGTGTCTCTGCCAGACGGCGGGGCTGCTCCGGAGCGGAGCCCGGCCGGCGCTGGGGAGGCTCGGGCAGAGGGGCTTCCCTCGGCTCCTTTGCCGTTTGAATCCGCTCTCCATTGTGCCCTGAGTGCCGCCGAGCTCCATCCAGCCCCTCTGGGCAGTTTCTGATCCCCTGACCCTAGGGACAAGTCACCAATGCCCACCACCTATGTGTGGTCCAGTAAGCAAGTCCAGGGCTGGAGAGGCAATGGGTGGGATTTGGGAACAAACCCTTGCCTGGTTTCAGAGGAGAGATCCTGGAAAACTGGGAAGTGCAGCCCTGTGAATGGAAATGAAGTACAAACAGGGGGAGGGAACAACCAGAGAGCACATGAACCCCACGTAGCCTGTTACCTCGCCTGGCCCGGCTCTGCAATCTTTCTGCAGATTGTGCAGGCTCCGCACAGCAGAAAGAAAGAGTAGGTTTTCGTATCCGCACTCCTAAGTTCAAAAAGTCACAGTGAAATGTCAATGAAAATGCCTGGAGTGTTGCTATTTCATCCATATTAAACAGATCCCTCATTTTAACCACAAGAAGCACATTCTTCAGTTACTCAGGAAGCAGCATGGAACTGCTGAAGTCTGTTTTTCATTTGTCTGGTATTTTTCAGCTTGTTTTTATGAAAACTTGCCGGATGAAAAATGCATCAGTTGCCTGTATGAGAATAACCTGTAAGCGTTATCTTTTCTCCGAAAAATCTTCACGCTCTGAGGTCCTGAGGCTAGAACTTGGATGGGGATGCAGATGCCTCAATATATAATTTTGAATTGTGATTAATATGTAATTAACCAATATGACGATGATGGGCTTGTGGCAAAAGTCATCCAGAGGGCTGGAGAGAATGTATAACTGTGTTAACTGATACAAACCCTCCTAGGAAAATGATACCTTGTATCCAGCTTATATTTTAGTGGAAACTATTTTCCAGATAAATGCTTTCCAGAGTTGGCTCAGAAATATTCACAGCAACTAATTAAAGCTAAACCAAATTCCTCGAGGTGGAAAATCTAAATCTGACACTGCAGTGTTGAATAATAACACATTGGAAGGCTGTGATATGGAAAGAAACTCAAGCTGTTTTTCCTTTTTTTTTTTTTTTTTTGCTTCTTACTTGAAAACAAATGGAAGACCTAATAATCTTCCCAGAGGCAGGAAGGCAAGGGATTGGCTAGCCCCACATACACATTCACATAGGACATTGGGATGTGTAGGCTCGGTTCCTGGTTTCCTGGACATTTCCTGACACTGATTCTGGAAGGAAGTATTCTACTGACGGGTGACACGGTCGAGAAGCTACTTCTCTGAATTTTCCGAACTGTAAATTGTCACGTATATGCTTCCTCCATCACCCCTCTTGTTGTTGTTGTTGTTGGTTTGTGACAGAGTTTCGCTCTTGTTGCCCAGGCTAGAGTGCAATGGCATGATCTCGGCTTACTGCAACCTCCACCTCCCCCGTTCAAGCAAGTCTCCTGCCTCAGTCTCTGGAGCAGCTGGGATTACAGGCGCCCACCACCACCCCTGGCTAATTTTGTATTTTCGGTAGAGATGGGGTTTCACCATGTTGGTCAGGCTGGTCTCAAACTCCTGAGCTCAGGTGACAGCCCCGGCCTCCCAAAGTGCTGGGATTACAGGTGTGAGCCACCACGCCCAGCCCACCCCTCCTGTTGTAAGGTGACTTCTCCATTGGATTCTTGTTTTCATTCAGTGCATCCGCAGACCTGGTCATACTAATCTTGTGCAAGTACAGCTCTCATCCTGCCACCTTCAAAACCTTATAGCGATTCCTGGCTGGGCTCGGTGGCTCACTCCTGTAACCCCAGCACTTTGAGAGGCCGAGGCGGGCCGATCGCATGAGCCCAGGAGTTCAAGAACAGCCTGGGAAACATGCTGAAACCCTGTCTCTAAAATTAAAAAACATATAAAAACCTTTTGGGGCTTCTCTATGGCCTACTGAGCAAGTCAAAATGCCTTGGTAGGAGTTTCGAGGCTCTGGATCTACCTTTCCCATATTAGTCCATTACCCTTCCCAGCCCAACTCCAGCCAAACGAGAGGAGTTCGTTGGCTGCAAAAGCCCCTCCTCCCCAGCCACCTTTCTATCTCAACCCTTCTGCTGTTCAATCCATTGCCTTCACAGATAATCCCTCTCCCCAGCTCAATTCCCATGACACCATTTTAAACCCAGGCCTTGGCAATCTGTGCTTCAGACAGTGGTTCTGATAGCAGTGAGCTGGAGAGGCTAGCAGAGGTGGGAGGGGCGGGGTGCAGAGCATAGGGAGGGCATATTCATTCATAAGTCATGCACACTGAGGGCGGGGCGCGCCATCTGCTGGCCAAGCGCGGTGGTTTCAAGTCCTGTCCTCAGCAAGTGTCTGGCAAGAATTGTATCTTTGTTTCTTCTCAAACAATGAGGTGCGATATCTACTTACAAAAAACCTTGAAGCTGTTGCTATCATCATCATGGACAGTCATGATGTTCCGTTAACAATGTACAATCTGCTGTGGCTGATCATCACATTTTTTTAATGGGGGTGGGGCACAAAAGGCAAAAAGGAACAAAACAGTAAAGTTACCAGAGAGGAATGATAAGACAAAGAGGAAACGAATATGAGTCTGTGCATGTGTGTGACAGGCACACCAATATCATTTAAGAAGATCATTTCAACCTATTCTCTTCGAGGCATTCTGATGATCTCTTTAATCCTCCCTGTTTGTGTCAAAAAACTAATACGGTCTTGACCTACCTCTGTAAACAGCCTCTGAAAGAAAAGTGTACTAACAGGTATTTCTGACGATTAAAAAATGAAAGCCGGGCATGGTGGCTCACGCCTGTAATCCCAACACTTTGGGAGGCCGAGGTGGGCGAATCACTTGAGATCAGAAGTTCAAGACCACCCTCGCCAATACGGTGAAACTCCGTCTCTACTAAAAATACAAAAAGTAGCTGGGCGTGGTGGCTTGCACCTGCAGTCCCAGCTACTTGGGAGGCTGAGGCAGAATTGCTTGAATATGGGAGGCAGAAGTTGCAGTAAGCCAAGATCATGCCACTGCACTCCAGCCTGGGTGACAGAACAAGACTCTGTCTCAAAAAAAAAAAAAGATTTGTCCCTTCTCTATATATATTTATTTATTCAAATATAAATATATATATATATCTGCGTGGATTCATGCTTATTTATTTTATACTTCAAGTTATAATCAATAATATAATCAATATTATGTTATTTATTTTGCTCAGACAATTCCAGCATTGGCCGTTGGGAGCTCTTTCTGGTTGACTCCTATGTGCTTTTGACATGCCTCTTTTTGGTTTTTGTTTTTTTTTGAGCCGGAGTCTTGCTCTGTCACCCAGGCTGGAGTGCAATGGTTCAATCTCAGCTCACTGAAACCTACACCTCCCAGGTTCATGCGATTCTACTGCCTCAGCCTCCTGAGTAGCTGGGATTACAAGCACCTGCCACCAAGCCCGGCTTTTTGTATTTTTAGTAGAGATGGGGTTTCACCATGTTGGCCAGGCTGGTGGGGAACTCCTGACCTCAGGTGATCCACCCGCCTTGGCCTCCCAAAGTGCTGGGATTACAGGCGTGAGCCACCATGCCTGGCCAACATGGTCTCCTTTTTATAACATTTTAAAAATCAAATGTTATTCCTGCTTTTTTTTTTTTTTTTTTTTTTGAGACAGGGTCTCGCTCTGTCACCCAGCAGCACGATATCAACTCACTGCAACCTCCATCTCCCAGGTTCAAGTGATCTTCCGGCCTCAGCCTCCCAAGTAGCCGGGACTATAGGCACATGCCACCATAATTTTTGTATTTCTTTTGTAGAGATGGCGTTCTGCCATGTTATCCAGGCTGGTCTGAAACTTTTGAGCTCAAGCGATCCACCCACCTCGGCCTCCCAAAGTGCTGGGTTTATAGGTGTGAACCACTGCGCCCAGCCTACAATTAATTTTTGTTTTATTAAATATTACTTGCATAATTCCAACAAAGTCTAAGTGTTTGTGCGTGTGTTTGTGTTTAAATACCTGTATATTTGACCTTGTTTGGTTACTAAGCTAATGTTAAATTCTTTCTTAATGACACATAGGAAGTCCCAAGGCAATTCTTATGTGTAGACCCACCCATCTATCAGGCCTCTGTTAAATACAGAGAGAATGTCTTTGATGTGGAATTGCTTATAGCTGTGCAGTAAATGCCCATAAAATAAAAGTGAATTGACAATGATGTATTACAAATTGCTTCACACAGAAAAAAACAAAACAAAACTGGAGGTTCTGTGGCCAAAGGTATAGCTTCTTTTTTAAACAAGTAAGATAGCAATAAATTGGCCTGTGCTGTGGCTCACGCCTGCAATCCCAGCACTTTGGGAGGCCAAGGCAGGCAGATCACTTGAGTTCAGGAGTTCGAGACCAGCCTGGTCAACATGGTGAAACACCATCTCTACTAACAAAAATACAAAAATTAGCCACACTGGACAGTGGCGTGATCATAGCTCACTGCAGCCTTAAACTCCTGGGCTCAAAGGATCCTCCCACCTCAGCCTCCTGAATAGCTGGGATAACAGACATACCACACCCAGCTAATTTTTAACATATTTTTAGAAACAGGGTCTTGACATGTTGACCAGGCTGGTCTTGAACTCCTGGCCTCAAGAGATCCTCCTGCCTTAGCTGGGATTACAGGCATGAGCCACTGCATCTGGCCCAAATTCAAATCTTGGGCCCAAATGACACCCCTTAACTTGAAACTTGAACACTAACTTGCCTTCTTGTCACTTGGATATCCGACAGTCACCTCAAATTTATCCAAAACAGGTCCTTCTCTCTCTCTCTCTCTCTTTTGTTTTTAATTAATATATTTATTTATTTATTTATTTTTGAGACAGAGTCTCGCTCTGTTGCCCAGGATGGAGTGCAGTG